GCTTGGACATATCAAATATTTATGTGGCTTATGTGATTTGTAAAACGTAAAAATAAGAGAAGTATTACTTTATTATTAATGTAATATATCTATTATATCTGTTTTCTAATGACAAATTGTAATAACAAATGGACACATATCTGAATAAATTATATTTGTTGTTATATTAAATGTATTAAAAGTGTTGAATGTTAAATCATGGTTGTGCCGTATTTTGTTTCAATGATCGACACATTTTGCCATCCATTTCTATCTGATATACTGTGTAACCGAACTCTACCCTTAAAGTATTGTTCAACTCCAGATAGGTTAAAACTATTTGGGACTTTGATACATACTGTATTTTAAAGGCTTAAGGCCCCATAGAAAACTAGTACAATTTAGTAATTTTTGCAGATACTTCCAAACTTGTACTAGTTTTTGCATATTTCTAGCAGGAAACAGGATCGAGACTCGTTCGACCTTTTGAGTTTGGGCTGCATATATATAAATACGATGGTTCACAAAGATGACGGGATTGAGGATATTCCACTAAAAGTAAGTAGAACAGCAAAATACCAAAGGAAGAAATATATTTCGTAAACAAAATATATAAAAATTATTGATTTGTTGAAAGTTATGGAGAGAAATCTGTGGAAGACACAAAAGACCAGAGGTGAGATACAGCATTACAATATGATTCTGGTGATTATTCTGATGGGCAAAACAACAATAAGAGTTGATTTGTGATTTCTTTCGTCGTTCAGCTCTTTTATCTGAAGAAATAGAATTCTCGCACCTATAACACTAATTTATTGATTTCCGGAGCTTGATTATCATTTTTGAATCAACAAAAAATTAGTAAATATATATGTAATAAACGCGCTTCTATTTATAAGGTTTAATTTATTATAGAATTGCTATTTTTATTATTATTATCGTAAAAAACATATATTTGACTAATAAAAAAAAAAGATTCATGCAAAATATCAATATTAGAATTATTTTCCCAATATTTTGATAATGAAAATTATAATTTTATTAAAAAGCGAATCCTTGTCTTTATTTATCAAAAAGGAAAAGAAATCCCCGTTAGAATATTACTATAAACATTTTTATAAATTATAACAGTCAAATAATTTTTTAAACCTACCGTTTTTCTTTGTTTTAGATTTCAAATTATCGACAAATGCATGCATATCATCTGCTATTCCCGTGGCATCAAAAATTGTGCATATTGTTAGCAATATTTTTTCTTTCCACGAGATATTTCTCCATTCTTGTAATATTTTGTTTACCAAACTAAGTAATGAACAATACAATAATAAAATATATAAACAATAAACAATACAAATTGCAATTATGTACAGTAAATGCATGTAATATAAAAAGGTACCTTTTATTAAATAACAGGTATACTATTTTTCTCATAGCTCTAATTTCATAAAGATAATTGAAATCAAATGATTGTCGAAAGCTACTTATGGTAGTTTGGGGACCTAAATCGTGGTATTGTGTTAATTTCCATCCGGGAGAGATGAAATTATCTTCGAGTAGTTGTGTTTGTAGATCACCATTGTGTTGAACATTAATTTGCACAATTAAATCTGAATCGGTTTGTGCAAAAAAAGCCCTTCTTTCTCTATTAACACCAATTGCTAGCTTGATGTAATTCGACATTTCAATTATCATCATTTCTTCTTCATAACCATAACCATTATTATTATTATTATTATTATTATTATAATTATTATTATTATTTGTATTTCTCATTTGCATTTTGATTGATTGTTGGAAAAAAATTTCAATTTAAAAAATTATTATTTTTGACAGAATAAACCATATTATATTTATATTTAATTTTATAATAATTAATTTTATGATTCAAATTATTTAAAATTGATTCATAAAAAAATCAAATCAAAAAGAAATAAATGTTAATTTGATCAATAAAAAAAAAGTTTTTTCCTGGATCATATAAATTGTTTTTTTGCATTAAAATTAAAATCACATTGTATTCCATGTGATATCAATTTATTTATTTTTTTTAATTTATTTTAATCAAGCCCAGATTATTAACTGATGATAAATAATTGTTTATCATTATCCATATCTGAGAAGAAATATCTTGCGCGAAAAATAAAAAATTAATCCCTTTCACTCTCGATCTTTTAAAGGAGACCCGTGTAACTGCGAAGACGTGTACGTTACACGATATATGGAAATAATAGTTATTTATTTACAAATTTAGCATAATAAATTCTGTAAAAGGTTACATATAAAAAAAAAATAAATATTCCCTCACATATATATAATTAAAAAAAAATGTCAGTAGAAGAAACGGTTAATCCAACAGCTTTATTAACAGAATCAAAACCGTATCATTGTTTTAGCTGGAAAGTTTCAGCATTTCAACAATATTTAAATAATTGTAAATTTGGTGATAAATTTTATAGTTCAAGATTTTGGGTACCAAAATTACCTCTTCACAACAATTCTACCAGCATTTCTAACAACAACAACAACAATAACACTAGCAATATGATGAACAGCATCCAAACTCAATATAATTTAGTATTAGGTAGTGATAATATCAATAATGACGAACAACAACTGCTGCTACAACAGCAACAGCAACCAACATTATGGAGGTTAATATTATTCCCAGAAGGCAATAAATTAAGGGATGCTAACGAGTATATTTCATTATATTTAGAAGCTATACAAACACCCTACGAAAATCAAAATCTCATAGATACAAGATATGCCAGATTCAAATTATCAATTGAAATGATGGAAATATCTGATGATTTCACAAAAACAAAGTTGATAAAATTAAAAACTGATACAGAGATATTAGAACATAAATTTATTTTTAACAGCGATGATGACTTTGGATATTCGAAATTCTACTCAATCAAGAATTTCAAGAGTGGCAATAACAATAATAATAACAATTATGAGAAAAATTATGACTTGATATTTAAAGTGGAATTTTTCAATGATGATGATAGTGAGAGCAAGAGATCCAACTCACGATCATATTTCCTAAGTAGTACAAATGAAAAATTTTTTGAAGATGATTCATTTACCGATATAAGATTTTTGCTGGATTGTGGATCGATAATCAAAGCTCACCGGGTGATACTAGCAGGTGGGTCAGCGTATTTTAATAAAATGTTGAAAGGGGAATGGAAAGAATCGAATTCTGAAACAATAAAAATTCATAGCTTTAAATATGAAACATTTCGAGCTATTTTGTTTTACATTTATTCAGGAAAGTTGGTTGATACGCAAGATCTTGAATTGTTGAAGGATGTTTATGTTAAAGCTGAAATGATGGGTTTGGATGGATTGTTGAAGTTGTTGGTAAACAAGTTTAGTGAGATTATAGATGAGGATAATTGGGATGATATCCTGATATTGGGGCAAAGAACTAGTAATAAACCATTAAAAAATATCGTAATGACTTTTCTAGTATTAAATTTTCAAAAAGTTGCCATATAAAAGAAAGAAAAGAGGAGAGCAAGCGAGGATGGGATTGAAAAAATGAAGGGGGGAATGGGAAAAGAAAATCTCGTATAGAAATGGAATTGATTAATTAAATTATTAAAATAATAAATATAAATAAAAAACTAATAATACAATAAAATTTAAAAAAATTTTTTTTACCTTCCTTCCTTTCATATTTGATGGATGTCTCAGTAATCAATGATTTCCTTTCAAAAATAGAGATCTTCAAAGGTCATAAGATGACGATCATAATAAAGTCTGATCTTACGCAAAAAAATAATTTTTCTCTCCAATTTCAATTCAAAAGATCACTTTGATTAATTAACTAATTAATTCATTGTACATATGCCATGCATGCGTCATTATTACACTACACGAAGCATGCTGGATCAAAATCAGACAAAATGAACAATAATACTTTAATAAGAGGCAAGTTTATAAAATTACAAATTGTTAAGTTAAACCCTTGCAACTCTGGCTAGAAGAGCAAGAAATCAAATTATATTAATATAAAATTTTTCAATTAACCCCTGAGAAGCAGTTACCGTTTTTGGTAAGTCCATAATAATAATAATAATGAATTAGAAATAATTCTATTTACGCGTTTTTCAAAAAAAAAAAAAAAAAAAAAATTTATTAAAAAAAAAAATGTCATTTTCACCTCAAGCAAAAAGAGCTTTGGATCAAACACCAGTACAACAACAACAACAACACCAAGAACAACAACAACAACAATTACTTTCCACACCTACACCTCAACCAGAAAATATCATCAATAATGTATTTTCTAGTAGTAATTTTTCAATGGATGAAAATAAATTATTAAAAACTTTTATTTGGTTCATCAATGATTTTCAACATTTTTATAAAAACCCAACTCATTGTCAAACTGTTTGGAGCGATGCTTTCTATTCACCATGCTCTTCCTCGTCAACAATTAATAATGAAATGAATACTGCCACCAATATTATGACGGCTTCTGGTGATAATACAACTGCTAATACTACCACCATCATTAACCATTCTACTAATAATGATATAATCAGCAATGGTTGTGCTTGGAGATTATGTATGTTCCCAAAAGGTTACAAAACTGAACAATTTTTGTCATTATTTCTTTACGCGTTTCCAACTGATTATGAAAAAATGCATGGAATTCACTGTAGAGCAGTTAGATATGTTCTCGAATTGTTCAAGGTTGGAATTAATCCCAACACATCCAAAGTAGAATTGAGGCCTGTAAATGTTGGTCAAACGGTCTTTAAGAAAAGCTTCAATCTAGATCATAAGGGTGATAGTGGAGGAAAAGTTAAGTTTAGTGATCTGACAAACCTATTCCCCAGAAATGACACGTCAATTAAACTTGATATTATGATCAGGTTAAAATTATATACTGAAGATGACTTGCAAGCAAGTTATAATATTAATAATGTTGATATCATTAAGTTTCAGCCTTCTTTGGAAAATTATTTCAACAACAATAATTTTAGTGATGTGACTTTTAGTTTCAACGATGAATCAGAAATTAAAGCATCTAGATTGGCTTTATCTATCCGTTCCAGTTATTTTGATAGAATGTTTAATGGTGAATGGGCCGAATCAAAGGCAACAATCATTCCCATCAAGAACGTTACCTATCAATGTTTTAAATATCTGATTTACTTTCTTTACTCTGGCAAATTAAACGATGATATACCATTCGATGTATTGAAAGATTTGTTTATTGAAGCAGATATTAGAGAAATTCCGGAACTGGGTGAATTGGTTGCTTCAAAAATCATTGATCAGGTTAGTGATGATAATTGGAGTGAGATATTATTTATTGGTTGGAAGACAAAAAATTATTCTTTGAAAAATGCTGCGCTCAGTTATATTCGTGTTAATTGGGAAAAAGTTAAGCGAGGTAGAAAGATCAATGAAGTGATAGCACATGGTGATATGGAGTTAATCGATGAATTAATGTATACCATTTGTTTTGGTGTAATCATTGCGTTTTAATATTAGTAATATTGGGTAGGAGATGTGATTTTATCATTTGAAAGCATGTCGAGTATTTTTTTTTTGTCCAAAAAAAATTATAACAAATTTATTTTAGTTTTTTTTAATAAAATATAAAGTTTAATACATATTAATATTATATACGCCCGTGCATCATGTGTTCTATAAAAAATAGTATAGATCGCACAAACTTAAAAAGGAATCACCAATCAATCGTAACTATGATAACATAAAAGTTTTATTTTATAAATATAGTAAATATAAATAAATAAAATAATATTTAAAATAAAAATCATTATCATTATCATTATCATTATGATAAGTTTATTTTTCTAAAAAAAAATTTATTTTGAAAAATGCTTCGACAACATGATTCAACCATTGACAACGCTGAAACAACTGTTCGAGGCATAATAATAAATAATACCATTGTCAAGGATAATAATGATCAAAATGTTGAAACTAATGATAATGAAAAAAACGATGCAAAAACTACCACCACCATCTCAAAGTCAAATGACCATAATACAGAATATGATAGCTTATCGTCGTCGTCATCATCAATTATCGATGAAGATATCGATTTTGATTTAGTTTATTCAATGCATACATTTGAAGCTACTGTTGAAGGTCAAGCAAGTGTAGAAAAAGGTGACTCTTTAACTTTGTTGGATGATTCTAATATTTATTGGTGGTTAGTTAAATTGACAAAAAATGGAAAAACTGGTTATATACCGGCTGAAATTATCGAGGTTTTTATATAATTACCTAGATTTTTTTTATGATTGGTATATATATAATTAATAACAATTATAATAATTAAATAATTGATGGATTAGACACCATATGAAAAACTGGCAAGATTGAATAAAAATAGAAATCTTAATGTAAGCAAATAAATTTAAAGTTCAATTATATACATATATATACATATATATTTTATTTCAAAAATTATTAAATAAACAAATAATTTTTTTATTTTAAAAAAGTTAGCTCAAAGTAATAGAGTAGATGATATAATATCCAACATAACAAAAAAAAAAAAAAAGAAAGAAACATCGAAAACTGTCACTTTCACTTCGCCATTATTTGTAATTGCCGATGGTGTTGGTGGTGATGTGTATAATGAGTATAATGATGAAGAAGAGATGGAGGGGGATATCAGCGAAAATTATGACATTCAAGAAGGAGGTGAAGGGGTTGAAGGGGTTGAAGTAATTAATTGGTTTGAGGGTGTGAATGAGGGTGAAATAGATGAAGGAGGTGAAGAAGAGAAAGAGATAGATAAGACGAACTATGAACACGAAGATGGTCATGATTGTCAAGATGAATCTAAAATTGCAGTAAAAAGCGAAAATCAAATACCAGTGCCGGTGGATATTGATAATAATATTAATAATAATGAAAATCAAGTAGTAGAAATAGCAAAAGAGGAAGAAAACATGTCAAATAGTCCTCATATTAAGACTACTACAAGTCCTTCAACACTAAAAGATAAATTTATCTCTGCCTTTAGCACCACAACCATTGGGAATTCTTCGAAAATAGAGACAGAAAATGATGTTAATAAACAAGTAGTCGACCCATCAACTAGCCATCTATTAAGTCCAGAAGTTGCTCAACAAAATATTCAACTTTCTAATAATCTACAATATAATCGTCAAAAAAATGGTGGCAATATAGCACCAAACAAAAATAAATCGAAAAGAAAGCCTGCTGGAATTCCTATCAAACAAACAGTAAATAATAACAATGTATCGCCTGCTAATCCAAATGACTCTGTACCACCTCTTTTGGATGTCTCTAATGATCAAACCCAGGCAATCAAATCGAACCTCTCACCTACTTTAGGCAATGATTTTATGGACTTTACTGATGATGATGACGTCGAGAAAGTTAACAAAAAGTCAAACAAAACCGCCCTTAGAGAATCTAATAGATCAACAGTCTTAAAAGTTACAGAGGGGAAAAAAGCTCAAAAAAAAGAAAAGGAAACAACATCAAGAAAAATCAAAAATATGTTTATGTTCAAGAAAATGCCATCAAAGAAAAAGGATGATGACTCTGTCAAATTAGAAACAATAAAAAAAATTTCACCATCTATGCCATCACCAACTCACATGCAAATGCATCAACAACAAAAACAACAACAACAAACAACGAAAATAAAACCACTAGATCCTCAATTGCCTCAACAACAAAAATCTAGTCATCAACGACAACAAAAAAAAAATAAGTCACCAGGCGTTTTATCTACGCAAGTCACTCGTAAATCCTCTCTTGATGTTCCAATGCAAAACCAACAAGATAATCATCTAAATGGCAAACTACTACAATCATCATTATCATCTTCACTACCAACGCAAAAATCACAAATTCTTGGGAATTCATCTGCACCACCACCACTGCCACCACCACTGTCACCACCACTGCCATCACCAACACCGCCACCACCACCACCAACACCACCAACATCAACCACATCACCACCTTCTCCTAGCTATAGTATTCTTCGTATTTTCCCTGGCCAAAATCTAAAATTGAATTTTGCTTTCAAGACAGTTCCAATAAATCAATCAACAACTGCCGCTGACCTTATTAAACAAGCAATAAGCCGATTTAAAATTGATAAAGGGAAAAATTGGGAAAATTATTATATTACAATAAAACTAGCCAATGGAGGTTTGTATTCTTATAATTTATGTGTTTTTTCTCTAATTAATTTTCATTATTCAATTTTATTTTATTTTATTTAGAGGAATTAAAGTTGATGCCACATGACCATCTTCTTGAGATACATCAAACATTAAATTCACTTTCAACTGCTTCATTATCAACCACAAAAAGAAGTTCCACATCATTTTCTAACACGTCAGTTCATCCGACAGTGGAAAATCTTGAAGGCGATGAAAAGTCGGTTGATGTCACCTTCTACTTGAATAAAAAATCTGTTGATAGAAATAATAGCAGAATATCATCCATTTGTGATAAGAAACAACGCTTACGCTTACGCGTTCTAATATATGCTGATGATTTGCCAGCTCATTTACGATTTAAAAGTCCCCCTTCAACACCACCTCCGTCACAAATACCAAGAAAATCCAAGTCAGTACCAAAACATCTTATTGAAAAAACTGGCAGAAGACGTTCACATGAAAATGGAAAACCAAGGGAAAAACATTTAATTGTTGATGGTTTGGCAACTGTATATGATGTTATATCGAAATCTATGAGTAAGTTTGGCATTATTGATGGTGTAGTTGATGATGGTGAATATATAGAACGCAATGATATTAATGAAGTACCACGTTATAAACTAATGCTTAGTTCAGAAGGAAATGGTATGCTTTGGAATAATATTTTAATATTTTAATACTCGGCTATAATTATATATAATTATAGATTATAAATTATTAATTCGGATATTTTAAATTTTGTAAACAGAAAAACTATTGCATCCTAAAACAGAAATCCTGTCTGTTTATCAAACACCTCCAAACCTTATACGTTTATCAGTTGATTCATTAGATTCCAATTCTTCACTCGTACAAAATTATCTTCCGGATGAACCTACATTTGTTCTACGTCTATCAAAACCTGAAAATTGTAGAAATATTGTGATTCCAGATATTATGCAACAATCTTCATCATCAGAAAAACAATTGAAAACAATAAATTATGAACAACAACTGCAACAGCAGCAAGAAGAAGAAGAACAAAAACAAAAGCAACAGCAACAGCAACAACAGCAGCAAGAAGAAGAACAGCAACAGCAACAGCAACAAGAAGAACAAAAACAAGAACAACAAGAGGAAGAAGAAGAAGAAGAACAACAACAACAACAGCAGCAGCAGCAACAGCAACAAGAAGAACAACAACAAATATTGAACAACAACAAATCTTTGGATGAAAATGATGTTAATAATGAACTATTAAGGAGAAAAGAACTTATTGAAAGGCAACGTGAATACAGCAGATCCAAGCAAAAATCCATTATATCATCACATAAAAATTCTGAAAAAGGTGTTGATATTGTTACAAGTGATGGTGCAATTAGAAGTTCAAGGATTTTTGATGAGTCAAAAGTGCGTTATTCATTTATTTTAACTGACGGAGAAGAAATGGATATCAGTGATATTATTGAAGATGTTATGGGTGATGATGATATGCTTATGATAAATCAGGATAGAGAGGAAAACTCAAAAGAACAACAACATCATGATTCTAATTCATCATCATCATTATTCTCTAATGATAATAAACCATCATTATTGTTACCACCAGGTTTTGACAAAAAGAATCTTAATAGAAGGAGTACTCAAGATGTAGATGTTTTGGTAAAGATTGCAGATGGTGCCCAAAATAATGATAATGATAACATATCATGTCAGTCATTAAATAAGATTGACCTTGTGATTGAAAAAGTAAAACGTAATCCATCATACAGGTCGAGCAATTCTAAATTAAATTTAAATTCTAATACAAATCCCAATTCAAACACAAATTCAAGCACAAATTCGACAACAGCGACAATAAATCAAACCATAGAGTCAGAAAATAAGGATATAATTGTTGATTTGGTGCATAAAGCTAAAACACCATCAAAAATAAGTAGATCATCTTCAGTTTCATCGGCTAGTTCAATAAACTCATTGACCAATAAACATAAGCATAAGCATAAGCATAAACATAAGCATCATAAAATGTCAACATCAACAACAACAACAACAACAACAACAACAACAACATCAACAATATCAACAACAGCAGCAACAGCAAAAGCAACAGCAACAACAACGACAACAGCAACAGTAGCAACAGTAGCAACAGCGACAACAGCATCAGCAGCATCAGCAGCAACAGTGACAACAGCATCAGCATTATTAGCATTAGCATCAGCATCAGCATCAGCATCAGCATCACCACCGTTTTCAGATGATTTTGGTTTGGAAGAATTGTTGATGCTTGCTAGAGGTGTTAACAAGTTGGAATTAAAAGAACGTAGAAAAAGTGATTGGTATTTGAATGAAGACCCTCATAAAGTATTGGATCAACTTAAATCAATTGAAATAAAAGATAAAATTAAAGATATTTTCGCTGATATTACTCAGGAACTTGATAAAATGGATCAGGTTGGTTACTAATTTTTATTTTATTTGTACTATTTCTACGTATTATAATTAGCTCACTCACATATTTTATTTTAGGATCTTGATAAATTACTAGCTGATACAATAAGAATTTTTTGAAAACATTTTTTAACTATTATTAATTTGTAAATTATATAGATTTATTTATTTATTATATATTATTTATTTGAGATTAATTAACATCCAACTGCGTTGAATGTTGAATAAACCATTTTTTACAATAATGATTATAAAAATTATATATTCTGAAGAATATATTGACTCTATTCCCCTTTACTCTTAGGAAATGCATTAAAAGAAACTAGTTTCTCAATGATGCTCACTGATCTATTCCTCTGATCAAAATCACGGAAATAATAATAATAAACTCGTGGTTAAACTCAAATTGCTAACGAACTCAGTTTTAAATTTCTCAAAATTATTTGAAGAAAATAACGATATTATTATCATACAGCAGGAGGGTTGCGATTACGATTGATATTTAAAAATTCTGAGCCGGGATCTTTCCAAGAAGATGCAGGTGGTGCCAGTATTTAGTCAATAATGTACTGTGTATGTTTTATATATATTAAATATCGTGTACTTTTTTTGGACGCTATTCATTAGTTACATGATATAAAATATCAGATGCAAAAGCATCTTCACTCTGTATTATTTATCTACAATTATATGGTTCCACCGTTATACTTGTCCAGAAATTCGAGAGCATTATTCCAAGGGATAGGTAATGTGAAGCATTGAGTTTTTAACTTCTGAATTGGTTCTGAATTTTCAGGATAAGCTTCTAATACCTCAATAAAAGGGATCCCTGGGTCTTTGATTTTATCACAATGCAAATAATAATGTTTATTGCCTCGATCATCTAGTAGTGATGTACAACGAAACTTTTGACTTTATTCATTGACGTAATTAAAGTATTGGCTAAAGGTAGTTTCTCACCAGGGCCATTTTGACGATTTGACTAAAGTAAAAGTCCTTGACGTAAGTAAAGCATTTGACGTAATTAAAAACATTTGACATATGTAAAAACATTTGATACAAGCAACGATAATAATAACGATAAAATGGAATTATCAAAAGTTCCAAATTATGTAAAAATGTGTCCCGGGGGGATGAATAAAGAAAGGATTATTATATCATTGTATGTATATTGCAATGATCCAAGAATAATTATATGTGAAGTTTGCATTTTACTGTTTGTTTTTTTCCGTATATTTTCTTTTAAAATAAAAATGCTTCTAAATTTATGAGTTGTGTTAAATTGATGTTTTTCAAATTTTTGACTTTTGAAGTTAACTATGTGTAATATTAATACGTAATAATATTAATAATGTGCTCGAGCTGTCTTTAGTGTCGAGTTTGAAGCAACATAAGTTGATCAATACTGGTACTTAGAACGATCTTTAACAGCACATAAGACAGGTATTGGTGCATGTTTTAATTTTGTTTTCTATTTTTTTATCTTCAAAGAATGCTGAAATTCTTTTATTGTTGAATCACGATAAATCGATCACTAGAGTTTAGTGATGATGAAGTTGTTCTTTAAACAATGCTTTTCAACTCATGTCCTTATTATTATCAATTAATTCTGTTAGAGGCAATCAAATAAACTAAAAAATGTTGTACGAAAAATTTGTTTGTTACCTTCGCAAAGAAAAACAAGGTTTTAAACGAAAGCGTAACAGTGAGTTTCGTGAAATAAAGATTAGTATCATATCGCAATGATGTTTTTTTGATGCCATAAAATTACATGGCTCTATCACCTACATATATATTCGTTCAGAGCAGCAAAATTAGCACTGAATGCAAAGTATCTTCTACAATGTATTCATGATCAATGATACAACCTTTAATAAAAATAGACCATTTTATGGCATTGATCGAGTAGTCTAATAAATTATAACAAAAATATATAAATAGACCTGCTATCCCCATCCGTGGACCAAAAAACGATGTATTGGTTTCGCTTGTTACGTTGCATTCGAATTTGAGGGTCGAGGAACGTAGTGTCGAAATGGCCTTCTATGTATGATTTAGCTTTACACGCTACATTCAATGCGGGGTACCTATATATTCGTTTGGAGCATCAATATTAGCCAGTCATAACATTAATTATATCAATATTTTTATTTTATTCATTGCGTTGAGCAAAAAATTTATTCATTCATTTAATAAAATTACATATACAAAGGGAAATTGTTCACGAATTTAATAAATTTAATAAATGATCCTTTGCAAAGAAGAACCTTCACGTAAATCAAAAGTTATTTCCGAATTTCGATCAATAAAAAAAATCAAGCTTTTTTTTTTCTTAAAAAAGATCTTTTTGTCTTGATCTTTTCCTCGTGTTTATTTATTTATTCCAGATCAACTAAGCTTTTTTTTTCTTTACATAGATTAATCAAGGATTTATTTGTTTTTCTCTGAAAGGAAATTAAAATTAAAACTTTTCCTATCCAGATCATTCACTATTTCTCAAACGGTCAAAATTAAAAAAAAAATTTCTGCATATTGTTTATCAACAAAAAAAAATAAACACGATTTCCCTTTCGGTCAAATATCTGCTTGACCCTGTCGTTTTGACAAATTTTTCGATTGCCAAATAGATATTATTGGGAATGGCAATAGCAATGTAAAAATAATTGAACCATTTATCATTTTCGGAAAACGAAAATATTTTCAAGCCACCGCAGCAAAAAAAAAGAAAAAAACGATTCATTAAAAGTTTTACCCTTTGATTTTGATCTCATCCTTCCCAACAATTCAGTTTACTAAAGTTGAGCAACAAAATGTTTAGAAGATTCGTGATTCGTTACCATAACTGCACTGGATTTACCGTTTCAAGTCTTCTTTACAACAGAATATTTCCTGTGTATATATTCAAAAAGAAAATATTGCACAGCAATCTACACGAAAATTACCACATTTAGAAAGGCAATCTTTTTTTCAAAAAAAAATTTCCATTCTATTCATCAAAATACCAAGTCGAATTTTATACAATGTCACATAATAAACTATTATCATTATCATCACCAGAAAGAAAGGAATTTATATATAAAATTCACAATGAAATGTATAGTAATGCAGTAGTTAATTCTGATAGAAAAAGTAGAAAAGATTATTTTTTTTCATTGGCTGAAGAAAACAAGGAGCTTTCTGAAAATGAAAAAAAATATTGTAAAGAAGAGTTTATTTATGTGTTTGAATTAAAAAAAGCAAGAGATAAATTAGGCAAATCAAAAGAATGTAACAAGTGTAAATTGATAAGATACTCTGATAGATTCTGTGAAGGTTGTATTAGTTTACAATTACAGAGCCTTTTCACCACTTGGACATCTGGAAATAACACAATTGATGATTTTATTCAACAATGTCAAATAAAATCATCTCTGCCAAAACATATTTTAGAATGGATACCATTTGAGCAATTTGAAGATATAACAAAGTTGACAGAAGGTGGATTTAGTTTGATTTTTACTGCTAGATGGATAAGAGGAAGAATAAGTGATTATGACGAAAATAAAAAGGAATTTAGTTATTCAGCAAGGAGCGAAGTAGTATTAAAAAGTTTAAATGATTCAAGTAATCTAGGAAAAGTCTTTTTTGATGAGGTGAGTAGTTGTCATTTAAACAAAATAAACAATACTGTAATATACAATACTAATTGGTTTATATTAAATAGGTAATGAATTATTATGAAATTAAATCAGGGTTGATTGTTCCTTGTTTTGGTATAACTAAATTCCCAGATAATGGAAACTATGCAATAGTTTTAGATTATCTTATAAATGGAAATTTAAGGGGTTATTTGCAAAAACATTTAGATTTAACATTAAAAGACAGAATTACAATCTTTCTTTATTTATGCAATTCATTATATCTTATACATAAAAAAGATTTAATCCATTGTGATTTACATAGTGGCAATATACTTGTGGAAGGAGGTGGTTGTTATATTACAGATTTGGGGTTATGTGGACCAGTTGATGAAAAGTCATCAAATAAAGTCTATGGAATTGTATCATATGTTGCACCTGAGTTACTTAGAGGCAAGATTAATGCAAAAAACACCAAAGAGACAGATATCTATAGTGTTGGGATGTTAATGTGGGAAATATTTGCAGGTCATCCACCATTTGATGATAGAGCTCACAATCATCACTTAATGTCTAGTATATGTGCAGGTTTACGACCACCAACATTACCTGAAATGCCTGATGATTATGTGCAAATGATGCAGAGATGTTGGGATGCGGATAAATCAAAAAGACCAACCAGTAGGGAACTTTATGATTTTTCTATAAATAAACGCAACAAAATTATTAAAAATAATAATGGTAATAATATTACTAGTAGTGGTGGTAGTAGTGCTTTGCAACAAGCACACAAATCACATCCAGATGCATATCATAAAAGTAGAATATTAGATGAAGAGATTGCTAAATCTAAAAGCTTAAAAGGTTATACAAGTAATGATAGTCATTGATTTTAACTATTTCCTCTAAAATGTCAACAAAGGTAAATAAAATTTTCATTATTAATTAATTTGAAATTATTATCCATTGCTGACAATATTTTAAACCTTAGATTCTAGTAATGATAATAAAGAAAGAGTTGATGAATGACTAATTTAATCTCGAATATAAATTTATTCATAAAATAAAATCCTTATTTAAAGCCAAATTATTTTAGAATAATAAACTTTTTAAAATTAACTTTTGAGTTACTCTTGTGATTTAATTGCAACAATTCGGTGCTTGTCATTATTTAGTTTACAAATTTACTTGGTTCTTGTCTGTATTTATTGACTGTTTGCAAAATCGCTTTAGTATATTTGCAAAGTAGCTCAAGTGTCTTCGTTTATCAGCCTTACATTTACGACTACAATAATACTATCAGTACTTTCAATTAACCATTGGACGATACCTCATTAACACTCACTAATAACCAATGTTAATCCTAACCTTGCAAATAAAATGTGACTTTTTACCAAAGCTCCACAATTGTTATACTTTACCAAGGCACTACTACATTTGTTGCTTTTATCAAAACGCTTAAACAAAGAAAATAAAGACAATGTTTTTATTTTTTTTTATTTTTATTTTTAAAAGTTTATTAATGATTAATTTTATTTAATAAAAATAATAATTCTATTACAGAGCTTTATTCATTGGAATGTTGATTATCCATTATTTTCCTCTACGAGGACTCGAAGTTATGCTTTTTCGAGCGAAGACCAGAAGTTATCCTTAATGAAATTTTAGTAACTTAATAAATCAATATTGATATTATAAGAAATGTTCGTGGAACTGAATTTGTATTCAACAAAAGAAAAACTTAGCTCCCGGGAACAATAAGCTTTTGTATTTTATTAGTATTAGTCTTTAAAGCAATTTATTCACGTATTTTTGACTTAATGAAAGCGAATTAGAATTTTAAAAATATATATTATAACAATAACAATAACAGAAAAAGTTAACAATTTTCATACTATGGTGCTGAATATTCTTTATTAAAAAGTTTCGGAAGTTACCACAGTACGTATTTGGCTTCATGGTACTGTTAATTTAAAAAGTTATAGATAGTAATTGTAAAGTGATAAGTGATATAGCTAAAACTATACCAGTTTGGAATATAAAAAATAAAAATATTCAATTGTTACTCTTTGTATTGTAATAATTGATCAGAAATCGCATTTAACTCACTCACAACTTATCAATAATATTTATAATTTGATATCTTATAAGGATAATAACACAAATCATAATCAGGCCACATAATTCATTTTTATAGTAGGTAAGCAATAATGGTATATATAATATATATTCAATAGCGTAACATTTATAGTAAATTCTTTAGGAATAGTAATTGAAATTTACGTTGTGGATAGAAAACATTACCCTTCATATAGGACGGATAGACTGTCGCTGAGCTGGAAGATGATTATTCTACAATCAACAAAATCGGAAGACAATAATTTTGTCTCTTACAATTATGTCATAGCAATTTTATTTACTAGTATGATTTAATTATCAATATTTTAGATGTCTTAAAAGAACCTGTAGCAATCATTGCATGTGAGTAATATAAAATTTAAAAGATTCTTTTTCACTCGTTTATAAAAAAAAAACTAAAAAAATTGATACCATCTACTTTATCTTCGGTTAGATATTAAAAATGGCAAGATATATTATTTTAGAAAATAAAAAACTTTTGAAATAGTTTGTGGTTACTATTCACCAGCGCCAGATCATTATCAAAAAGATGAACTTGCACCATTTCATCATAGAGCTTGTATGTATGAGTTAGCAAGGATCTCTACATGATTAATGGTGGTCGCATATGAAATTTTATGAGAACTTTACAAAAGAACTCCATTATCTCTCGATTATTTCAATAAAGGGATTAATGATAAATGCAGTAGTGTAATGATTAGAGATGTGCCATTCATAGTAACCGTGATTTTTTTTCGCGCATAGTGCGTACAGTGCGCATGGTAGCATAGTGCGCATAATGCGCATAGTGTATATATATCATAGGGAGGAAATATCATAAATGTGCATATAATAATAAGAAAGTAAATGACATATTTAATTTTTTTTTTAGAAATGTTTATTAATAAGTAAATGTCTATAAAAAATATATCTAAAACCTTATGCATAATACACTATGCGTAACACACTATGCGCAGCACATCTCCAGTAATGATTCCAGATGATGTGTATTGTATTTGACCAGTTAAAATCTTTATTTTAACTGTTGTAAAGCTCTGCGTGAGCTTTATCCAAAACTTTGGCTAGATGATGGATATATTAATTTTGTATTGGTATTTTTTTTTCTACATTTAACTTTTTAATCTGCACATATCATGGAAATTTTATACTTGAAAGAACTGGGTCTGATGTTTAAGAGCTCTTACACTAATATTATGATATACTTTATCAACACCGGGTAGTTAGTACTTATAATAAATAATAGTTAGTGGCAAAAGTAACTTACTGTAATGATGAATGTTTAATTGTTTTAATCGTTTTAACTATTACCAAATTTTTTTATTTTTCATTATATTTCTATATAATTTAATGATTCAATCTCATATCATAACATCTATAATAATATTCTCAATTTAGGTTATTCGTCAAGCATGAAATGTCAAATATTTCTTCTGTAATCAAATATATTTTGATGCAATCTTTATAAAACTTAAATATTTGCAATGTATTATGATTAAAGATTTTTAAGGAAATATATACATATTATAAGAACAATATTATCAAGAAAATTTGCTAATGTTTAATTCAAAACAGTGTTGTCAGCGGACACGGACTGTCCCGTCTCGGACTGTCCGTGTCCGCCATTTTAAATGTCCCGGACACTCCTTGGACAAAAGTATTTGGAGACCTATTTTTACTAAACATGCAAAAACTCACATAATAACTATGCATACAATTTTATCAAAATATAGATTAAGGTTTTGATGAATGAATATGCATGTAAATTTTGATATTTTTAGAACGTCTAGGAAAATTTGAATATGAATGCAAATTTTTGGAATTTCGGCCAGTGTAAATAATTTATAATTAAAATCGCATTTATTAAACTAATTAAGAAGGTAATTAGCATTTTTTTTGTTTTTGAAGCGTTAAATCTATATGATAAATTATATTTCATATTAATATGAATATGAACATACTGGCTTCAGTTGCTGTCGTAGATTTAACAAGTTTGACTATATTGGAAATGGTATCCTCTTACTTGCTGAAATTGACTCTACCCAAATTTTGCAAAAGACAAGCCTGTCATCATACGAGCTTACAAAGCTACTTACTGCCCAGTAAAAAACAATTTGTGGTTTAATATTCAATGTTTCTCCAGAAATGCATAAAGTTTCTCTGCATATGTTTTACATATTTAGCTGGTGATGATCTTATTGATTCCAAAATTTTGAGTAGATAGATATTTTCCTTCATGATTACATTTAACTTTTTAAGCTGGCTACATAACTCAAAATGAGCACTTGGCCAAACTATTTAGTCATACAAGTCTAGTCAAGACAATTATTACTGAATTAGGATTTTAACACTTTTTACATTGTACTTTTTTTTTTATTTGCAATCAAATATTTCTTCTGTAATCAAATATATTTCTTCTGTTAACAATCTTTAGAAACTTAAAATACTTGCAATGTAGAATGATTAAAAATTTTTTTTTAAAAAACATAGTGCTGAAGAAATATACATATTAATATAATGTAATTTATAATATAGTTCTTATAATGTTGTAATTTGATATATTAATATTAAAAATATCCAATGAATTGATATTTTAAAAATCCTAGATCTTGATATTTTTTAAGTGATTCATCAAGCAGACTTCTTTCCAATTGATATTTATGTCCAACTAATTTTATGTTAAAAGGTCTAGGCCCTTTCCAATTATTCATTAGATTTTCTAAATAGCTATCAGATATAATAACTTTATGTTCAAAGATTATTGTATTTAAATTTTTTGGTAATGTTTGATTCAAAATAGCTAATATTCTATTACCATCTGTTTTATATTCCTTAACAATTGATCTAAATCTAATATATCTCAATTTAGTGCAACTATTAAAAAGTTCATGTAATTCTTCAACCATGTTATCCTTGTAAAAAATAGTCAATTCTTCCAGATTTTGACATTTTGACGCAACGGATTGAATCACATTTTTAATGTGAATCTCATCTTGTGGCCTACCCTTAATTGCTAAAATTTTGAGAGTGCTTCCATTTATCATAATGAATTCCGAAAGCTTTAATAAAAAAGGGCAATTAGAAAATCCCAAGTTTAAAACTTCAAGCTTTGAAAATAGAATTGATTCTACACCTGCAAATTTATTGGTAGTGTGATGTCTGTCATAATTAAATAATGACATTGATTTTAAATTTTTGAATGTTGGAATTAAATCATCTAACTTCATAATACTCCCTGAACTTTTATAAAAAGTTATTGATTGTGAGTGCTTCAAGACTGCTTCTTTCAATCCATCTGATGTATATGTGCTGCCATAACTATATAAAGTTTTTATAGTTAAATGTTTAATTTGATTTTGATTCCTAACTAGTTGAGCAAGACCATAATCATCCGATCCGTGTTTAAAAGATATTTTTAAGTCGTGAATATTTTTACAAATATTTGCTAATCTGATAAAAAATTTAAATCCATCAGAAGTATGGCATTTTAATTTATAAAGATTTTTAAAACAAGGTCCAAATCTATGATTGTTAATGAACAATTCGCTCCTAATGTTATGAGAAGGCCTGAGACTTTTGATACCTTCTGAATTATCTAAAATAAATTCTAATAATCTTTCCTCAAGGCAATCAGGAAATTCCATAGAGCCAAAAATTCTACATTTTAATTCTGTAGTAAATTTTGCATAGTTATGTAATGGTGGCTTCTCCAATATAAAATTCATTCCAATGTCATTTAACATAAAGAAACTTCTGTCTTCTGCAAATAAACAATTAATTAATACTTTGGTGCTGCCTTCAGAAATAAACGGATCTCTCCATAGTTTTGGAATGTTGATACCATGCCATTGTTTATTAACAAGGATAAAAGAATATAATACTTTATAATCATCTTCAATATATTTAAATATCTCAATTAAAAGTTCTAAAGGTAAAGGAGGCATGTTTTTTTTCTCAAAAACAATGATCGGAAAATTACAGGGTTCAAATTTTTATTGACTGATAACGAATGACTGGGGCAAATGATCAACAGCTCAAGCACACAGAAGAATTTATTTTTCTAATACTATCAAATAATTATTGATAATTTATTTAGAGGAAGGACTAAAAACCAAAATATTTAAAAAAAATTTACATATATTTTTTTTATAACATGCATTCTATAAAATTTATATACACGCGCACGCACATATATATATATTCTCTGTATAAATCTATTAAGGATACCGGCTGCAACTTTTGATGATGGTTGCTACCACCTTTGCGTCATATAAAAATGATTGCAACCGCTGGCTGCAACCGCATTTACGACCATTTTGTTGCCTTTTTTGGGTTTCGACATGGAACACTAAAATCTATTTCTTTTTTTCACCGATTCATCTATCAATCAATTAAAAACACCAAACATTTTAGTTTCCATCAACTCTTCATATTTTCAATAGACGAGTTAGCAATCAAATTTTTCATACTTTCTGTAGTCTTTAAAAATGACCAATTCTTATATGCATACTCCAAAATTACCCTTTTCAATTGCAATCTACTAGCTGGTGCAATGTTTGATGATCACCAGGTAATCTTCAACAGCTGGTCCCATGTATCATGATGATAATCGTTTGGCAGTCAAGTTTGCTAAATGTTCTAATAGCATCATATCAGCATTAATATAAATTTCTTTTAATATTTCGTATGGTAATGATATATGATATATGATTACTGTTATTGTTATTGTTATTGTTATTGTTATGATTGGTGTCATTGCTATTATTATTATCTAGTAGTTTTAATGAGTAGAGGTAACATATTATTACGTAGAAAACCTCATATGATGTGTTTTTAATTGGTATTCTCTTCATTGTAGATTCTTTATAACCACTTTTGAACATGCTATCAAAATATTCTGATCGTTGTGAAAGTAAGACTTTGTGAGCTTTAATTTTTTTTATATTAGGCGGGCTGGAAGTGTATGGTGAAGGAGATGATGGTGTAGGACAAGAATTAGAATCGTTACTTGTAAAATCAATATTCTTATGAACAACGTCACAATTATCTTGTTAATTGAACATCAAAAAATGTGTCATTATCAATAAATCTTTCAAATGATCCAGAACATTGTTGTAGTTCAACACTTTTACCATCGCTAAAACTAAAAATATTATTGTTATTAAAACTATTATTAATATTATTATTAGTAAAGTTATTATTATTATTACTAGTAAAGTTAAAACTATTATTATTACCATTAATATCACTAAAACTATTGTGCTATTAGCATTACCGGCATTGAAACCTCTATAGTAATCTTGTAATTGTGGCTTGGTATAGGCGTGAATACGAACTCTAATAAATATATTGAGATCCTCTTCAATCTTTATCCTTTTCCGACCAACATTACCAACACCATTATTAACATTGTTTTGAAGAAGATCTTGAAATATTCCAATAGTGTGTGTTCCATGATAAACGCACGGACTTTGTAAATCAAAATTCTATTTAAACCATAAACCAATTGTGGAGTCTCTTTTGAACAATCTTTTAATGATGAAGGTGATGCTAAAAAAGAAGTAGAAGCAGAAACAGAACAGTTATTGATGCTATTATCGTCATTAGAAGAAGAGGAAGAAGAAGAAGAGGAAGAAGAAGAAGAGGAAGAAGAGGAAGAAGAGGAAGAGGAAGAAGAGGAAGAAGAGGAAGAAGAGGAAGAAGAGGAAGAAGAGGAAGAAGAGGCAGAAGAATCTTTAATAGTTGATAAACTGAGAATTGAAATTCAATATTATTCCTTCTCATAATACAATTTTGTTTTTCAAAAGATGTTTGAATAGCTTCTAGAAACAAAGAAACTTCACTCTGATATCTATTTTGATACATTTTCATTCTTCATACATAATCAGAATTTTCTTCATTTTGAGTATTATTGCTATTATTTTTATAATAATATGACTATTACAGTCACCACCACCACCGCCATTATTAATATTATCGAAAAGTGATACTGGGACCCAAATTTGTCGTGGTGGATTTAAATAACTTGCATCATTTATTGGGGTCAGTGTTGAAAATTCAATCGGGGGTATCACGTTACACCAAATTTCCATGTGCACGAAATATTTATTTATTTTTTTGTGCTGATTATTTACACAAATTAAATTAAAAATTAATATCATTCAGGAATAAATTGTTATTAAAATTTTTTACCAAATTAATTCTTTCAAATACTTTAAAATGTCAAATTTTCCTATGGTCATTGATTTGTCTGATGATGAAGAGCTTAAAAAACCACATGTTAGAAAAGCTATTGATCCTGAGTGGTTTGATAATTATCCA